ACTGCGCTCCAGCCTGGGTGACAGAGAGAGACTCCATCTCAAACACACACACAAAATAATTAATTAATTAATTAATTAAATTAAAAATATAAATAAATAAATAATGATAAGCAAAACCAACAACCCAATAGCTAGGCTAAAAAAAAAGAAGACTGAAATAAATAAAGTCAGTGATTAAAAAGAGACATTACACCTGATAACAAGGAAATAAAAAAAAAAACTCTAAGAGATATTTATGAACACAACAACAAACTAAATAACCAAGAAGAAATGGGTAAATTCCTAGACACATACAACCTATGAAAGGAAGGAAAGAAGAAGTTAAATTGTCTCTGTTAGCAGACAATATGATCTTACATAAAGACTCCACCAAAAAATATTTTAGAAGTAATAAAAAAATTCAGTAAAGTTGCAGAATATAAAATCAACATACAATTCAGCAGTGTTTCTATGGACCAACAACAATCTATCTGAAAAAAAAAATCACAATCCCACTTACAATAGCTACAAAAGAATAAAATACTTAAGAATAAATTTAACCAGGGAGGTGAATGTGCTATGCTTTGAAAATTATAAAGAATTGATGAAAGATATTGAAGAAGACAGGAGTAAATGGAAAGATATCCTGTATTCATGAATTTGAAGAATTGGTATTATTAAAAAGTCCATACTACCAAAGCAATCTACTGATTCAAAGCAAACCCTATCCAAATTCCAATGATATGTTTTACAGAAATAGAAAAAGTAATCCTAAAATTTGTATCAAATCACAAAAGACCCCAAATAGCCAAACCAATCTTGAGCAAAAAGAAGAAAGCTGGAAGTATCACAGTACCTTATTTCAAAATCTACTACAAAACTCCAGCAATCAAAACAGCATGGTAGTGGTAGAAAAACAGACATGTAGACCAATGGGATAGAATAGAGTCTAGGAATAAATCCATGCATTTGTGGCCAACTGATTTTCAACAAAGATGCCAAGAACACACAATGGGGTAACAGCTGTCTCTTCAATAAATGTTGCTAGGAGAACTAGATATCCAAATGCAGAAGAATGAAATTAGACCTTCATCTCATACCATATACAACAATCAGTTCAAAATGGATTAAGGCCAGGCAGGATGACTCACACCTGTAATCCCTGCACTTTGGGAGGCCAAGGTGAGTGGATCACAAGGTCAGGAGTTCAAGACCAGCCTGGCCAAGATGGTGAAACCCCATCTCTACTAAAAATACAAAAAAAAGAAAATAGCCAGGGATTAAAGACTTAAATATAAGACCTGAAACTGTAAAACTATTAAAAGAAAACTTAAAGGAAAAGCTCCATGACATTAGTCTGGGCAAAGATTATTGTTAACATCAAATAACCTAACATTACACTCAACATAAGGTTATTTTTTGACAACAAAAGCAAACAGAGACAAACAGGATTGCATCAAACTAAAACTGAACAGCGAAGAAAATAATCAACAGACTGAAGAGAGAATCTGTGGAATGGGAGAATATATTTGCAAACCATACATCCAATAAGGGGTTAATAACCAAAATATATAAGGAACTCAAACAACTCCATAATAAGAAAACAAAAAACTCACCTAATAAATAGACAGAGGACCTGAATAGATGTTTTTACAAAAGACGACACATAAATGGCCAAAAAAATATGAAAAAATGCTCAACATCATGAAGTATCAAGGAACTACAAATTAAATCCACAATGAGATATGACCTCACACCTGTTGGGATGGTTATTATCAAAAAGACAAAAGGTAAGTGTTGGTGATTTTGTGGAGAAAAGGTAACCCTTGTACACTGTTGGTGGACATGAAAATTAGAACAGTCATTGCAGAAAACATTATGGAACTTTCCCCCAAAAATAAAAACCAGAACTACTGTAGGATCCAGCAACACTACTTCTGTGTATATATCCAAAAGAAATGAAATTATGATCTCAAAGAGATATAAATACTCTCATGTACTTTGTAGCATTATTCACAATAGCCAAGATATGGAATCAACCTAAGTGTTCATCAACAGATGAATAAAGAAAATGTGGCACACATAAACAATGGAATACTATCCAGCCTTAAAACAAAGGAAATTCTGTCATTAGCAATAATTTGGATAAACCTGGAGGACCTTATGTGAAGGGAAATTAGCCAAGAACAGGATGACAAACAAATGTGATCTCACTGACATGTGAAACCTAAAATATCAAACTCATATAAGTAGATAGTAGAATGGTGCCTACTGGAGGCAGGGAATGGGAGGATATTGGTCAAAGGGTACAAAGTATCAGACAAGAGGAATAAGTCTTTGAGATCCACTGCACAGCATAATGACTATAGCTAATAATAATGTGTTGTATATTTTAAACTTGCTAAAAGAGTAGGTTTAAAATGTTCTCATCACAAAAGTGATAAGTATGTGAGGTTATGGATATGTTAATTAGCTTGCTTTAATCATTCCACAACATATACATATGTCACATTGTACTCCAGAAATATATAGTTTACATTATTGTTGATCAATTAAGATTTTAAAACTTAGGAAAAGGATCTCCATTCATCTCAAGGTGGAAACCAGTTTATTTTGCCAATTATGACTTATAAGTGCTTCACAAATTTTTCACTTTTCCACTCACTATACTTAAATTATATCAGACTTTGGCAGGTGGTGATGATTTACAAAGTATAAGCCAAAAATATAAACAAACAAAACCCAAGATGCCAATAAATTAGTAATTAAGAAGGAAAAACCTCAAGAGAAAAAAAAATTATTCTCAAAGACTTTTACCCAGGAATCTGTTCTACACAAAACTCATACAATTGAAGAGGTGTATCAAGAAAGCACATTTCCCAGTGTCTTTAAGAACAGGCAGTTAATCTGAATGTGTGAAATAGCCAATTCTTAAACAATAAAGAGTTGGGAAAATAGTAACTATTTGCAAAGCACAGATTCTACCAAAAGCCTTAAGTAAGAGAGAGTGGCAGAGAGAGAGAGAGAGCGCAGGTATGTACACACACTGTGGGCTAAACAAAGAATGGCTGTGCGTTGAATTCTTTCTGCCTGTGGATCACCAGCTTGTAATGCCCATATTAAGCAGACTATGTTGAATGCTTCTTCCTACATTTCACTTTGTGGAAATTTTTCATTCCTTGGGTTATCTACTTCTAGACATTTCATTATCAACCCTTCCATTTACTTTCAATTTTGTAAGAAGAATCAGAGAGTCAAAAATTTTCTAGGTGAAAGTAAATATATTTTCAATAGTGCTGCAATAAACATACGTGTGCATGTGTCTTTATAGCAGCATAATTTATAATCCTTTGGGTATATACCCAGTAATGGGATGGCTGGGTCGTATGATACATCTAGTTCTAGATCCTTGAAGAATCGCCATACTGTTTTCCACAATGGTTGAACTAGTTTACAGTCCCACCAGCAGTATAAAAGTGTTCCTATTTCTCCACATCCTCTCCAGCACCTGTTGTTTCCTGACTTTTTAATGATCGCCATTCTAACTGGTGTGAGATGGTATCTCATTGTGGTTTTGATTTGCATTTCTCTGATGGCCAGTGATGATGAGCATTTTTTCATGTGTCTGTTGGCTGTATGAATGTCTTCTTTATTCACAATAGCAAAGACTTGGAATCAACCCAAATGTCCATCAGTGACAGATTGGATTAAGAAAATGTGGCACATATACACCATGGAATACTATGCAGCCATAAAAAAGGATGAGTTTGTGTCCTTTGTAGGGACATGGATGCAGCTGGAAACCATCATTCTTAGCAAACTATCACAAGAACAGAAAACCAAACACCGCATGTTCTCACTCATAGGTGGGAACTGAACAATGAGATCATTTGGACTCAGGAAGGGGAACATCACACACAGGGGCCTATCATGGGGAGGGGGGAGGGGGGAGGGATTGCATTGGGAGTTATACCTGATGTAAATGACGAGTTGATGGGTGCAGCACACCAACATGGCACAAGTATACATATGTAACAAACCTGCATGTTATGCACATGTACCCTACAACTTAAAGTATAATAATAATAAATAAATTAAAAAAAAAAAAGTAAATATATTTTCATTTCCTAGGAACTGGAAAAAAGAATTTCATCAAGTGCATCTCATATTTTAAAATGCTTCTATTCCTTTTACACATAATGCAGGAAGAGTTATTTCATGAGATGTCAGCTGTACAGAGCAAGTCACTGATATAAATCAGGTGTAATCAAGATTGCCTAAGAAACACTGACGTCCTAAACACTGAGAACTGAACTGTAAAGCAAAGGATTATCTTAGTTTGATTCTGCAAGCAAAAAACCAAAATGCCATTAACTAAATGTTAGTCTTTTCTTGTAGTATTTCCATGAACCCACAGTTTTGACTAAGCTCACTCAGGCATTTTAATGGGAGACAGGATGTTTGCATAACCCAGTTTAATTATCTGTTTCTCTGTACTATGGCATTCATCATTACAGAAAGGAAAGTTTGGCTCATATGACAGTCATATCTTATACCAATACTTGTGTAACAACACAATTTAAGTTTACTCTCACAACCCATAATTCAAGTACTAAAATACTCAAACGTACAGCTGCTGAAGAAATTCTACAACATGGAAATTCCTGATAAACATGAAGAGTTTTTGATTATGTACTTAAACACTATGAATGTAAAAGGTATTTTCTTCACTCATGCATTTTTAGATATAATTCGTCTCATTTTTTTTCCTTTCATCACATTCAGAATTATGAGAGATATATGACAGAATTATGTGAGCAAGTCCTTGGAAGGTTTTCTAAAGCTTGACTAGACTTATGTTAATAAGTATGCACATGAACAAAAATTGAAGTGTAATTTTTAAAATGCACAAAATTATATTGGACACGTTGAATTATAGGTGCCTTTTTAACCTTGCAAAGTTGTATTATTGTTGATACAGTGTAAATCCAATGAAAATGATTTAAAGCTCAGGTACTTACTGTGGTTGGAAAATAAGGACTAGTTTTGAATTTTTTCAGAGCCATGGAAGAGGTGTAGGTTCCCAAGAAGAGGATAAAAGACATGAGTGTAATATCAGGAACAAAATTACAGTTGTTCCCCACGAGGTTTCCTCCATGTTTCAAACACTCCTTCTTCGACAAAAATGCCCAGTCAAAGGTAGTATTATGGTACTGAAGAAGAAAAACATTAAAATTTTTCTAGAGAACAATGACATATAAAAAGCAGCCTTTGATACCTGATGAGCTATATAGGAATTATACTAAAAGTTTCTAGAAAACAGTCTGAAAATAGGCACTGGAGGGTGAAACTTGATGAGTTGCTCATGGAATAACAGATAAGATGGGCCAAGAGGGTGGCAATTATTGAAAATACAATGAGAATAATGCAATTTGTTACCTAGTTTGGGCAACAGCCTTAAAATCGCCCACTTGTTCAACAGAAACCACAAAGTACTTCTTTCCTGCATGCCTTCCTGAGAGTAAACTGAGACACATTAATATTCTAAGTCTCAAAATGTAAGACTCTCTAAAACACTTTTCTTTTTCAAAAAGTACTTACCTTTGTAAGGCACAGCTTTTTATGTGTCTACCTGATGGCCCTATGGTTAACGCTCTAAAAGTTTTAATACGTTAACTACTCACTGAGCACTTTCCCAACTACTCCGTTTCTTTTCTAAATAACTAGGGACTGGTGATTTAAGCAATTAAACTACAAAAATGTGGATGGTCCCTGCTTTTTCAATTGCATATTCTAATAAAGTATAGATTTTTTTTCTTCTTGACTCTAGGTCAGCATTATGAGCACCTGTTCTTGGTATGTGCTGTGATGCCTTTAAGGCTATGTAGTTGTGTATGGAATATTCATCTCCGTGTTACATGGCCTCAAACATATGGTCAGTTTTCATGAATGGCTGTTGCAGAGTCAGTGCTGTGCTTCCCTCTAGCAACTCACTTCTGTTTCTATTTTTGTTTCTAATACATAGGAGAATCCTTTGGCTAGTATAGTAGATAGGGCCAGCACACCCATCCCCCAGCTGCGCTCAGTACTAGCTGCTCTTAATTCATAGCTGTCTTCTTCTCTAGAGAACTGCCATTAGCCATTTCAGAGCCACCTCACCTGCAGTGTAGTGCCTTCTCATAGCCGATTACTGACCAATACTAACCAGGGTTTAAAACTAGACTCTCTTTGTCTCCAGGTGAGAGCAACCCTATGCACAATTTATGCTCCAGAGCTCCCATGCGATCAGGCTGAAGCGAAACTCAGCTGAAACCACATTCTTGTTTAACTCCTTCCCTGTCTTATATTGTTCCTCTCAATCTGTTTTTATCGAGACCACTGTCTCAACAAAGTCACATGTACCCAAAATCCCTATATCTGAATCTGCTTCTATAACAGCCGACTTACTTGAATTATTAGTCAACCAAAAGTTAATGGCCTCTAAGCCTAAGAAACTTTTTCTAAAATATCAGGGTTTGGAGGAAACTTGAATGATTTCATCAGATTTCTCATCCTTAGTATTCAATAGTCCTGAAAGATGAACATTCATTCTCTGCCTGAACATTTTATGTGATGAGCAGTCTCCTGGTTGCTCATCCCCTTGCTTAATAAAGTTTCTGCACAGATCTCCCTTATACTGATATTTGAATCTTCTTAAATACCCTTTAACTAAGTTTCTTTTGCTATACAAAACACTTTCTTGCATACTGTGACAATCTGGCTCTTTCCTGAGGAGAGATTTTCAAAATCATACCTATCTAAATGGATGTCAATGTGGTTGAGTGGAAGGGACTGGGTGTCTCAGCTTAGAAACATTCTAAATACCCGTAACTTATTCCTCTTAGGTCCAGGGCTAATGGATATATCATATGCTATCAGAAGAGTTATTTGAAAACACCTTGCAAATAAACGTGTAAAGACAAATTTCTCCTGTCCTTTGCAGACAAGAGTTCTACTTCACACCAAACACATCATCAGTGTCTTTTACTATTCAATGAATTCTCATGATATGGGTAATATAGTCATAAAGGAAGAATCTCTGGCCAGAAAGAGTTAAATTTTTTATAGAGCTCAAAAGGTAAAGTGCTTACAGAAGTCAATAAAAAACAAAATATATATCTTTCCCTGAAATATTTTTCCTATAGAAGCTTCAACTTGTAAACAGCTGAACTGCATTCTTGCTTTTATCAAACTTTGCTTCTGAAAGGTGATTAATCATATCTTATTTTGCTTTCGAGATTTCTGCATAGGGGTGTTTATAGCACCATATATTTAAAGTTTAGAAGTCATAATAGGTAACAGGTTTCTTTGTTTTAAAGTCAGCAAAAATTTAACATAATTTTACTTCAGCACTTTAATACCAGCAGAATTCTTCTCTGTAACTAGAGTTGCCCACAGATAAGTTGCATTAAAGCAATCCTGCCAGGAAGTTCTATTGATTTTCTTACACAGATTCAGGTTGAGGTGAAGACTACACAGATGTACATGAAATGACAGACATATTTTCTTGCTTACAGCAACTTAAAATGCCAAATGATCAGTATTTTGTAAGCCTCAAATGATTCTTTGTATCATTATCCAGAAACCTGAGTCTCCAAATACCACCTTTCATTAAGGACTTCAGTATAAAAACGGTAGGTGGCATGCATATATCTCAGCATATCTGGCATTTCAGAATACAAAGTTTTCTACTCCCATAAAGCTTAAACTCTAGCTAATAAACAATTCTATTTAGATATCACTGAAAATACATCTATATTATCATATTATTTCAATGTTATTATTCCATACAAGCCGATGTCAGTGAAGGCTAATTCCATAAAACTTCAGGCAGGGTCCATTTCACAAACAAACTTACCTATGTCCACTGCTACCCCCGATGTTCAAGCCACTATTGTCTCCTCTGGTCTTAATGCAAGAGATCCTTAACTCATCTCACTGCTACTGCCTTCTAGCCCTTACAAGTGATTCCCACATCTCTATGGTTTTGATCTTTATTTCCTATGCAAAAGTCTATACATACTGTTTAAATGGTTAAATCAGAACTTTAAGAACAAGACAGTTCTGGCATGGTGGCTCACATCTGTAATCCCAGCATTTAGGGGGCTCAAGGCAGGAGGATCACTTGAAACCAGGAATTTGAGACTAGCCTGGGCAACATAGCAAGACCTCATCTCCATTAATTTTTTTTTTTTTTAATTAGCCAGGCTCAGTGGTGCATGCCTGTGGTCCTAGCTACTCTGGAGACTGAAGCAGGAGGATCACTTGAGCCCAGGAGTTTGATGTTACAGTGAGCTATGATTGTGCTGCTATATGCCAGCCTGGGCAGCAGAGCAAGATCCTGTCTCTGAAGAAAACAAAGAACAAGACAAATGGGAACATAATCTCAGAAGTCCTTTCTGGCTGTTAGGATTCTTTTAGCACATTATCTGTTTTCCTTATGATGCTTGTAATGTTTTGTTACAATTATATTGTAGCTTCCTCACTAATCACTGTTGTAAGTTTGAACATATTCAGAGAAATATCTAATGGGTCTGAGACCTGAATCTAGGAGAGATGTCAAGTTTAGAGACATCTACTTAGGAGTCATCAGGAAAGAGCTGATCATTGTAGTAGTAAGACAATAAAACTACAAGGGAAAAATGTGCAGGAAAAAAAGAGAGTCAAACATCTAGGGTATCCACAATGGAAGTGAAGATACCACAAAACACTATGAAAAAGTCATCAGAGTGATGGGTAAAAGAAGTACAATAAGCTGAGAAATGTGTGGGAGTGAAAAAATTGCAACAGCAATTACAGACTATTTTTTCAAGAATTATACAGTAACAAAAGAATAGGTTAGAATATGCAAATAGCAAGGTTAAGACAAGTTCTTTGGGGTTGGCAAAAACTTTTGAGGTGTTTGTAGTGGATGAGAAATAATCTGGTTATGGGGATGAAAAGGAAAAGAGATTGATGGGAAATGCAAGAGCGGAGAAAGCAGAGAGAGAGAGAGAGACAGAAATGAACCAGGACTTAGTAACTGTTTGGACTGAGGATGGATAAAAGCTAAACATCATAAAGGTATAGTGCCTGAGGACCAAAGGGACTGTGCATCAATAAGAAAAAAAAAGAAAAGAAAAGAAAAGAAAAGAAAAGAAAAAAAAAGAAAAGAAAAGAGCAAGACACTAGCAGAATTCCATTTGGTATACATTAGGTACCGAAGAAATCACTGTTGATTGAACAAATGAAATCTCTCATCACATCTGGAATATATGACATGTTCAAGGAAGATATCTACCAATTTATCTACTCTTTTTATCTGGAGGACAAAATTAAATTAAAATAAACTTTCAATTCAGAGTTGCTGGGTAAAATGTAGGATGCCCAGTTACATTTGAATTTCAGGTAAACAACAAATAGTATTTTCAGTATAAGTGCTTCATATGTAACATTTAGGACATATTTATACTAAAAATTATTCAATATTTATTTAAAATTCATCTGTAACTGGGCACGCTTTATTTTTGTTTGCTAAATATGGCAACACTATTTCAATGAGATATAGAATATTTTGAGTAACAGTCACATCTAGAAAATAGAAAAATGTGGCCACAAGAAAACAGAAAATACACTGGGACCTAAGTGCATGAAAGAACTAATGTAACCGATACAGAGAAATAAAACAGCAACTTTTAAAACTTTCCCTAGAGAAATAAAGCATTTAACTTAAATATTAACTAATAATATAAGCCAGTAAAGGAAAGTCTCTAAATGAGCGGTATGAAGATCAGATGATCAGAAGAGGGAATAATCATCTTGAGTACAGAAAAAAACAAAACAAAACTTAAACTAAGCCCTAAAAGGGTTTTTGCAGAACTCTCATATTCAAAAGGCAGCAGGAGTAACAGTAGAAGGACAGCGAAACTGTAACAAAAGGGAATAAAAGTGACAAACTTTAGATGTGTATTTCTTTCTGCATTGGCAGCAAAAAAAGAGATAAAGTATTAGAGAGAGAGAGAGACATCATAAGCAAAGATGCTGATATGGGGACATATAATGCTTCATTCCGTTTTAAAGACTTACTGAATTCTCACCTTTGTGGAGGATCTAACAGTGAATAGACCAGATGCGTTAAGCAGATTGTTTAGGTAAATGAGTACTGGGGGAAAAGGTTTAAAGAAAATGAGATCAA